CGCTTCCAACGGCTCTTGACAAAATAGTAATCCCAGAGTTGTTTTGTTTTGTTTTGAAGGAAGTTACTTTATTATTTGGCAATGAGAAGCAGTAATGAGAATACTTTTTTTTGTGAAAATACTGTACAGAGGGGTTACAATTACATGGGCAATATAATGAGTACATTTATCATCAAGCATTGTTGCCTCCTCCTTTGTTTCCCCTTTCCATTTCTCACCCCCCCATACTTTTATTTTCAATTTGTGTATTCCCAGAATATAAGTAATATATGTACTTAATAATTTTATGACACCAATGTGATCACCAGCATGGATTAATTTATCTTGATTTTCTACAGCTGATTTGAAAAGGGTATTCGCTCACAGAAAGTCACCCCTCAACCAGGAACAGTCATCTTTTGAGAAGACTTATTTTCAAGAGTGACAGTACGCTTCTCTAACAATCCAGTCTTCTTTTAAGAATCTATGGCAATAGATCATATTCCCACCTACTCTTTCCAGTCAACAGAATTTGCCTACTTAGGATTAACTCATAAAGTTGGCAGACTCGGTCTCCATTTTAAGACTATACTTTCTAAAATGCTAATACTTTGTAGCTCAGTGGTTGAACATTGTGTAGGAGGCACAAGGCACAGATTTCCATCTCCAGTATTACAAATTAATTAATTTCTAATATTTTTTTACACAGGCTAGCTCAGGCTAGCCTCAAACTCTCCATCATCTTCATGTATCTATGAACATAAACATTTATCTATATTGATATATATATATAAATATATATATATATCATGGAATCATTTTATTTACTTTTCATCAGCTCTTTGTATACTGATGAAAATTTACATGGAATCACACTATAGAATTTATGCACGGTATTCTAGTTCAAATTACTCTGCAGCTTATAAACTGTAGAAACTTTATTCTCATGTAAATCAGTTATTTGAAAGTTTATGCATCACTTTTAATAGAGGTCAGTTTTATAGATTTATAATAGACTTACTTTGTCTGGGAAAAAGTTTAATCACCCCGTCTTTCTTTTTAGGTATTTAAACAAAAACAATGCTAGCTTTTTGTGTTTTTCTCCCCCAATTCAATTGTATTAAGTACAAATCCATTCTACACTATTTTTCAGCAACTGCTCCTGAAGCTCATCATCCCACAAGTTTAGAAACTACAGGCCTGACTCAGGGCTCTAAACAATAGATGATGGGTTTGAGTTGAGAACTAGCAGAGCTCCATATAACAAGCCACTAGTCTCAAAAGATGATGTGACATAGCTCTGGATAAAGAACTCATAATCAGGTGTTGGTGGCTCACACCTATAATCCTAGCTACTCAGGCAGCTGAGATCTGAGGATCATGGTCCAAAGCTAGCTGGGGTAGGAAAGTCAGTGAGACTCTTATCTTCAAAAAACCATATATCGTGAACCCATGACATATATGATATATATATACATATATATATACATATATATATATATATATATATATATATATAAGCCAATATAGATACATGACTATGTTAAGCTGGAAATGGTGCTATAGCCAAGTGGTAGATAGTAGCCTTGAGGAAAAGAAGCTCATGGACAGGCCCTGAATTCAAGCCCCAGTACTGGTTAAAAAAACAACAAACTCATGTGCTTTGATCTTTTGTGTTTAGAGCTCTACTATTCTTTTGTTTTTTTTATTTTATTGTGAGAATACTGGAGCTCTACTATTCTTTATATATTACTTCCTTGCTTCAAAAAGAATTCTATTCTTTGACTCCATTTATACAAAGTTGTCATGAAGAGTAACCAGCATTCTGCCTAGAAAAAGCATACTGCTCCTAACCTGTTCTTCTCTTACTCTGTTCAATGGAAAGAAGGAAGTTATCACAGATCTTTCAGTGAAAAAATTTAGATACAATGTCAAAGACTCGAGGAACTCCTGAGGGCGATCACACATCTGCATCTCTTTTTCTTTTTTTCTCTTTCTTGTGTCAGTATTGGATTTTGAGCAGTGGCTGGACTGCTTCTAGCAAGTTTCTTAGTTTTGAGACAAAACCTCTTTTCTTTAGTGCTTAGATATATTTTGGATAGAGTTTCCTGTGTTGACCAGGTCTGGCATATCTCCTAGTAGCTGGGATCTCATGTCTGTGCCACATTGCTTTACTTCTTTTAACATTTTACTGTATGTTTGTGCAGGGCTGGGGTATTTCTTTCATTCTGCCTTTATAAATATGCCTATATGTATATATATAATGATATATATATGATAAGGTGTGTGATATGTGATGTATATATGATATATGTGCTACATATATGTGATATATATCATACTTACATATTTAGAATGTTCTTGGATTTTAACTCATGTTCTATGTTTTTATTGTTTCATGTTTCAGTTGATCCCACATTGGGAAGTATTGCCACTTTACAATCCTACTTGACCCGTCTCAATGTTTCTAGAACACTGGGGCTCCCTGGGCTGGGTAGGGCATAAACCAAGGCCATGGAATAACTTCAGCAGGGCCACCAGGAAAATCCTTCACTCTGGCATTAGTGCTTAAAGTGCCTTTTTACTCATTGCATG